ACGATCAAACTGCAGCACTATGGCATGTGGATACCACTGAGTTGAGATCTGACTGAATATCCTCCGGATACCATCTTTAAATTGAAGACTATCACCTGCGACCATCTTGAAGCACTTTATTTTGTAAATATTGTAATTTGTGTGTTTTTATCTTGTTTTTATGTATTTGGCATCCGTGCCCTGATGTTAGCCACTCTGAGCCCACTTGCGGGGAGGGCGGCCTAGAAATCGAATGATAAATAAAATAAATAAATAAATAATAAAATTCTGCGGGGCCGTTTCAGGGTCAGATCTTCTTTATATTAGTAGATGCTTACACTAAGTGGCTGGAGGTAGGACCGGTTCCCTCCACTTCATCCCACTCGGCCATTCGTGCAATGTGGCGGATCTTCAGCTCCCAGGGTATTCCATACTCCCTGGTAACTGACCATGGCACGGCCTTCACCTCCACTGAGTTTCAAGAGTTTGTGCAATATTATGGCATAAGGCACATATGATCTGCCCCATTCCACCCTGCAACGAACGGCCAGGCAGAGCGCATGGTCAGAACCACGAAAGAGTCCCTGCACCACATGGACCATGGGGACTGGGACTACAAGCTAGCCGCCTTCCTATTCAGCCAGCGCACAACTCCCGACACCACGACCAGCCGCAGTCCAGCCGAACTCCTCATGGGACGGTGTCTCACAACACAGTTGGACCGCCTCCACCAGAACACGGCACAGCCCCCAAAGAACAGGAGGCCCCACGAGGGTTCTTCCCAGGGGATCCCATGTATGCACGGAACTACGCATTGGGTCCCGCATGGATCCCAGCCAAGGTCGTCTGGGTGACAGGGCCACTCTCTTACGAGGTCTCCAGCAAAGACGGTCCCATCACCTCTGTTGCTCTTCTTTGTCTTTGGCAATTATCCATTTATTCTGTTTTCTTTTTCTTGAATAAATGTAGTGAGGCACATTGGTTCAAAAAATCCTAAGTTTAAATGGGGTCTGAATGGGCAGTGACTGACCAGGAAAAGGATCTTGCCACAGCAGCCAAGGGGCCAGGGAGAAGCTGAACCATGTGCCCAGCGCGCTCCCCCCCCCCCCCCCCGCCGCCCCATTTGCACGCTCTCTCTCACACATACAGACACGTGGACCCCAAGCCCTAACAACAGCAGAGGTCTTGCTACGGCAGCCAAGGGGCCAGGGAGAAGTTGAACCACGCGCCCAGCGCTGTCTCCTCCCACGCACACACGGACCCCAAGCCCTGACGGCAGCAGAACAACAACAAAGTCTGAAGAAGAACTCCGACTCTGAGAGAGCTGTGGCCCCCCCCCCCCGCCTAAAACTCAACGTGTGGCTGGGCAACAGCAAGAAGCCCAGCACCCACTCCTCGAGCCCACCCCCTGCCCATCTCCGTCGACGGCCGTGGCAGGCCGCTGGGCTGCGCAGAGGGCTCCAGGGCCTTCCCACCCCCACCCACCACCCACCTGCCTCCATCGATGGCGCTGGCCCTTAACGGCACGGCCCCGGAGGAGAAGGAGGACGCCCAGGGCCTACCCACTGCCCGCCTTCCTCCCCCAACAGTTACCTTGCCTGAGAGTCTTTGAGGCGGGGAGGTGCGGTGGAGCAGTGGCGAGTGCACGTGCTCTACATGCTTGCTGCCGCTTCTTCTATGGGGGCAGGGAGGAGCATGGATGGGGAGGGGCGTGGGCAGGGCGGGCTTGGAAGCCAGCTGGAACACCGTTCCGGGGAGTTCCTGCCCCAAAATAGCCCTGGTTAAGGGGATTTTATCACACTCAGTTCTGTGAGCCCTGAAAATATTACGATACTAATAAATATACAACAAATACAAAATAAAGTGAACCAAGGGTTACAGCACTCAGTCCACATACTCTCCCCATTCCCAGACCTCTTGGTTGAAGGCGAGACTGGAGCTCTCAAAATTATTATTAACAGAAGGTGTATGTGAGACCACAAGTACTATTAATACAAATTTAAAGGGATGGGGAAGTCCAGACATAGATCTCCAAATCTGATCTAATTCAGTCCTAAAAGCCTTTTCCCTAGATCCCAACTGAGGTTGCTGCCACCCAGTGACAATTCTCCATGGAGCTCTCCTTTGCAGCAGCAATGGAGCATCCACACAGCAGTTTCCCCCACAGAGGGACTGGTTTGAGGTAAGGAATATGGTTCAGACATAGGTGGGACCTGCAAAAATGTGGCACACAGAAACATTCTGACTGTGTTCTGTCCCCAAAAGACCCTATCAAGCCAGTTTTTAAAGGGAACAGAAGAAAGTTGAGGAAAACCTGGACAGGGGATGATCAGGGGTTGTCACATGGATGTTCCAAAAGGACCCACACCAAAAAAGTGTCTCAGTTTGAGTACCAAATTTGAGCAAAACCTCCATAGTGAAGCAATATACCATCCCACTGAATCATAAGTATCCAACCCACTACAGCAGTCTCAAAGTCCACCTCTTTGGGTCTTGCGTCTCAAACCACAGAGAACTCCCTGCTCTCTGTTAATTTCTTCTAATCTAGAAGCATAATAAATCCCTCTTTCAACTTCTTCCCCAATTCCTACTACAATCCTACTACTATACATTCTCTTTATCTTCCCCTCATCCATCACGCTTCTCTTCTTATATGGGGTGGTGGGCACAGAACAGTTCCTCATATCGTATTAAAACTGATATTTGAACTCACTAGAGGCAATTCTACAAGAAACCAAATAGCAGCATTACAAGGATGGTGACATGAAGACAGAAGGTGAAATCTGTCGTTCATGAATTCATTAGTAGCAGCTATTTTGGCTAAACAATAAAAAATTAATAGTTAAAATATGGCTGAACACCACCTGACATATTGCAGAAATGTGAAACACTGGTATGAATCTAATACTCATACGTCCTGTTAGCTCATCTAATAATAACTGGAAAAGAGTCACTTGAATAATAATTTTGAATTGTGTAATCCCAGATTATTTTCAGTTTTGGAACAATATCTGAATGGTACCTGTAAACTGTTTTTAGTCCAATCTATTTGGAGCCCTTTCTGTTTGTTTAAAGAGTTATTGGGCCTCACCTAGTGCCCACCACACTGATGGACTTCAAAGCAATCAGAATTACAGACTATGGGAACAAAGTGTCTGCATGTCGTGACCAAGGGTGGCATGGGGGGGCATACCACTAAACAGAGTACAAAATGTATAAATACTATCGTATCAATTAGTATACTAAGTTTTATCTAATAATCCCTATTAAATGCCTCATGTTTCACATAGAACTTGATACAAGCAGAAAATAAGACACGTTTTGTCAGCAATACATATTATAAAAATTAGAATCAAAGTTCCTTTAGAAAACACATTCAGCCTTACATATAGCTGTCATGGAAACATGCCTACCTACGCATGATCTACGTAGCTTGTTGTGATTGTCATGACAATGAAAAGTAATAGTGGTATTTTATTTCCTCTCTACTGGAATAAAAAAAAATGGGAAACAAGACAGGGGACAGAATACAATTTTACTGAGTGGAAGCTCTCAACTTCAGCACTTCCTCTTACTAAAGGGAAGGACCGTTTGTTTATGTGAAACTTCAGCACTTGCAAACTGCAAGCTTTAAGTACCTACAGTGACCAGAGAAGAACATTCTCAATGAACAGAGAAGCAAAGATGTTTACATCCCAGTCCTGTGTGGAGCCATCTTTACAGTGGTATGGCGAATGACGCCTTATAACATTCAATCCAGGTGGTCGGCCATGTTGGTCTGAAGCAGTAGAACAAATTTAGAGTCGAATAAACCAACAAAGGTTTATTCAAGGTGTGAGCTTTCATATGCAAGGCACACTTTTTCCAAATATACTGGAATGGTAGGTAAGGTTCAAACTTGTGGACAGGAACTTAACAGCAAATTAACATGTAACATGATGATATTTAAGCTATGCAAACTGATATGCAACCTTATAACATTGACTGCAGAATTGAACAAAGCATCATTATTAGGCATTGCAAAGAACTGCAGAGGGGTAGCTGTGTTAGTCTATTATAGCGAAATAAAATAGAAGACCAGTGAGCACTCAGAACTAGGGTGTGCAGGGTTTTTTCTCATTTCGAGTCTATTGGACTGGGGAAAAAATCAGGATTTCTGAAAATTTGAGATACCAATACCAGCAAAGTATTTGGATCTAGGATTTTTTTTTTTAATCTTGAATTTTTTCAAGTCCAATAGACCCAAAATGAAAATAAATGGTGTGTGTGAGGGGGAACCAACCCAAGATTGGCAAAGCCACAAAACACAGCCTAGTGTCGGCTCCTGCCTCTCAGCTGTTTCCCCGATCTTTTCTGCAGTCCCTTTAAACCAGCTTGGTTTAAATGGACTGCAGAAGAAGGGGGGGCAGCTGATAGGCAGGGAGCAGTTTCCCAGACACTCAGATGTTTCCCAGTCTTCCCGGTTCCTGAAAATATCTGGGATTTTCCCCCCCCCTGAAAAATCCCGGATACTTTTGAGATGCCAAAATATACCTGAAAAATACCAAGGGCACTGGCGCGTCACCCGGAAGTGACGTCGCACGCTGGGGGCGAGGCCACGCGATTTGAGGGGAAAACAAAGAGTTTTCCCCTCAAATGGCTGCCATTTGAGGGGAAAACTCTTTGCTTTCCCCTCAAATCGCGTGGCCCCGCCCCCAGCGTGCGACGTCACTTCCGGGTGACGCGCACGTGGGGGTGGGGTTTCCCCCGGGCCCCAATTCCGGCGCGCCGGTAATTGGAGGTCCGAAGCGGGGGAATCCCCGCCCCCCGGCTGCATTTGGCAGCCCTAGAACTCAGGTAAGCTCTGATTCATGAAAGCTCATGTTGAAATAAACTTTGTTAGTCTGTAATGTACCACTGGACTTTTTAAATATATTTTAACCAAGGCCATTCATCACTTTAAGCCACATAGCAACATCTTGATTTTCATAGCAACATTTATCAATTAACATATCTCCCTATTTCTTTGCATATCTCCTTACCTTTTGTTCTTGAACTTCAAATACTGCGTCATGAACACTACAAGCAAAAAGTGAGGTAGGCAGGTCACTTAAGTCCATCATCTCTTCCAAGTCATCTCCATTTTCTCCAAAAATCATCTCTTCCTCTTCTTCTAGGTCACTGCTGTAAAGGTCCAACTGGCTGTCACTCCAGGCCTTCATCGTCTCTCTAATCATTGCCCACTCAAACCAACTTTCCTTTCTCTGTATTTCAAGGTTTGTGACAACAGCTTTTCTAGAGGAGACCAAAAGAAAAAGAAAAGGTATGGCAAGATGCAGATTTACCAAAATTTTCCCTTTACTTCTGTTTTTAAAGATTATTCATTATGTGCAAGAAATAAATACCTGTGTGAATTGCCTTTTGCCAGCACCACAGGGCCACTCTTAGTTCAAGATTTCAAATGCAAAGAATAATCTGTTAGGCTACGAATGATAATCATCATAAACCAATCAGTACTTTATCCCTAAGGGCCAGAATGTGGCTTATGAACAGGTGAAATAAATAAATGCTATTTAAAATACTTATGCTGTTATCTCCTTTGAAAGTTATCTGAAAATCAAAGCAGCAACAGGAAGGGAGCATTATGGAACCCAACCCACCACCGTAAGTACTCTGAACTTTGCCCCAGCTAATGTTAGCACTCAGGAGAGACTGCAAACCACAATGGACAGAAGAGGTCATATACAGGAGACAGAGAAGCAACCTAAGAGCACAGGAGCGATGCACCTAGATTCAGAAACAAGGAACAAGGCTGCAAAACAGCTGAGGAGAAACCATACAAATTAAGTAAAACAGCAGAACATTTTCTCCCCTAAGAGGGAGGAACTCCACGAGGGACAGAGGTGGAGGTAAAGCAGGTAAATACGTAGCTGATACCATTCATGGCTGCTTACTGCTTTTAGGATGGGGGATTTCGGCATTACCATTATTTTCTTGACAAAAAATCAGATATGGCTTGAGAGCAGAACAAGGGCCACTCTGACATACTATGTCACAGCAGAACATTTGACATTAATTATGTCTTAATCACAGGCTCATAAAAAGCAATCACTTCCCTCTTCTGTAGGGTGGGTTGTTTTAAATCAAATCAGTTTTAAGTTAGCTGAAAAAGAACAATCTATATAACTAATTTTAAATTAGCCTAGGCCACCAGTCTAAACACTACACCACTTGTAAGTACACATACAAAAATGAACATGCAGTTCAGAACCAGGCAAAAAATCCATGAGATAGCAACTAGATGGCCATGCTATTTGATTGGTAGGTACAAGAAAATCTGAGAAATGAATACACTGCACAACTCAGGTAGCTGGAGGGAAATAAGAGTATAAGACAAGAACTTGCTCGTGGTGCCCAGCACTAGAGACATCCGGTTGCCAGCCTCCAGGTGGGGCCTGGGGATCATCTCCCGCTTTTACAACTGATCTCCAGCTGACAGAGATCAGCTCCCCTGGAGAAAATGGCTGCTTTGAAGGGTGGACTCTATGGCATTGTACCATGCTGAGGCCCCTCCCCTCCCCAAACCCCGCCCTCTCCTGGATCCACCCCCAAAGTCTCCAGTTATATTCCAACCAAGACCAGGCAACCCTACCCCAACCTGGTGGAACTCTCTGCCGAATAACATCCATGCCCTATGGGACTTAAGGCAGTTCCACAGGGCATGCAAGGCAGAGATATTCTGCCAGGCATTTGGTTGAGGACAGTGATGACATTCCATCCAACTGCTCCCCCCCACTGTTTCTACTGCTCCCCCCCCACGAGGCAGTGGCATATTTTTTAGCAGTTCCGTCACCAACCCACTGGGTATAGGTTATCTTTTGCCGTATCATAGAATGGATCTAAATATAATTTTACTACATATACATATATGTTTTTATACTGATCTACACTGCCCTGAGCCCTGTCTCACAGGGAAGGGCAGTTTTACAAATAAAATTTAATAAATAATAAATAAAGATTGTGTGCATGGACTGCATAGATTATCCTAGTGAGACTCAAGATGGCATCTCCTAGATCCTAGGAGCTGTGATAACTGTGTCCTAGTCACAATGATCCACGCTCTTGTCACCAACAGGCTTATTAGTGTAAAGTGCTCTGTGTAGGTGTGCCAAAGCTGTGGAAGTTTCAAATGGCACAGGATGCAGCAGCAGAACAGCTAGCTGGTGTGGACTATAAGCTGCATATCATTTCAGTATTAAAAGATCTTAATTGCCTGACTGTTCACTATCAGTCCCAATTCAAGGTGCTAGTTTTAGCCCATAAAGCCCCACAAAACCTAGAACCTGGATACTTAAAGGCCTGGACAATCTGCCTTTACACTGCACTTGCATCTCAGGCTCTCCTTCATGTCATTTTCTCCCCACCTTCTGAACTGAGTGGCTGGGGTGGGGGAGACAGAGCCTTTTCGGTAGCTGCCCCTTGACTTTGAAAATCTTTCCCCTTTTCTTGCCTTTAGCACTGTCACCCCCTTTTTTGGCACTAGACAAAGCTGGTTTTATTTTATTGAGTGCTGTCTGGTATTTATTTATTTTTAAAATAGATTTATTATGTTCTCTCCATTTTGTTCCCTGCTGTTGGATTACATTAATTATGGCTGTTTTACCTGCTGCTGTATATTTCTTAATAATTTTGGAATTTGTTGTTATATTTTAGGGCTTGATGGAGTCCACCATTTTTAGGATGTGAGACTGTTTATTTTGTAAAGAATCTTGAGCACTTTGGTAGCAAAGTGTTACAAAATGTCTTTAAAATACATTTCTTTTATTAATATACTTGCTATTTAAAAACTACTTGTCCCTTAAAATGTGAATATGGCATTACAGAAATTTTAATACTAAATGGAAAGATTTAAAGCTGCCAGAGGATGACAATATACACTGCTGTAACATATAAGTGTTCACCTATTCAGTAAAGAAAATCCTTTACAGTGAAGCTGGGTATTATTAGCATAAAAAAAGACATTTACAGAAGCCCTGTTAAATAACTTTCAGTAACGGTCAGCAAATTTGGGTTTCCATGGACTAAGTGTCATACATATTTATCTGCTTTTATAGCATGAAAAGTCAATAGATATTTAAATCCTCATAAGCCACAGCAGCCAACATTTCTCTCCTATATAATACTCCTGTTTTGGGGTGGCAAGATTCCATGCTCTCCCTCAGCCACTGGCCCATCAGCTGCCACTCAAGAGTACCCATGTGCCATTGGTCGGGTGCTGGGTCTGCTCCACTTCCCCGCCCACTCCCCGTTCAGCCACTGTGCCCTGTCAGAATTACTGGCAAACGGCTTTCTCTCTTGACTAAGACGCTTTTCCTGTGTGGGACTAACTGTCCCCTCAGTGGCTGTTGGTAGGTGTCACAAAATGGCAGTTACCTGTGTTTGTAAGATGGCTGTGGTTATTTGTTTAAAATGTTCCCCCATAAGGTTTAATTGAGCTGTAGTTCCAGAGAGGGACCTGCAGGGGTATCACTCAATGGGTTGAATGGGGTTTCCTCATCTGCTAGCCTACAGTTCCCAGCTGTTAAAAGGAATCCAAAATGAGACTACAAACCTGATGGTTTAATAGAGTCCCAGAATTTCAGCAAGCAAAAGATGTGGCAAGGCAAGTGTCAGAGTCCCACAGCACTCAGGCTCAACAACATTCCTTAGAAGGATCAGGTTTATTGAGTTCAGTAGTAGCAGGTCATCTGTACATACATCCTGTGCAAAAGCTAACCCACCAGGCGGGAGGGGAAAAGATATACTACGTTTAAAGTGAGGTCTTCTGATGGAGTTAGGCCAATCAGAGGTGCTAGCCTTACGTGCACAAAGAAACGACTACAGGTTCCCAGGGAAGGAGAGAGCATGAAGCATCAAGGTCAGGAAACCAGATAAGGGCCAGCGAGCAAAGAGAAAGCTAACATTCCTGGACAGTAAGATGTTCACCCATCAGACTCCCTCCCTCCCTCACTATGGCAGTGTAACTGACATTCTGCCCCTCCAAAAACCCCTGCCCACCAGGTTTGTCAGGATACATGGTATGGAAGGCGCGCAATAGTATAGGAGCACGAACATCACATTCAACCCATTCATTATGTGAGGGATCAAAGTCCTTCCACTGCACACTCCGCCAGTAGGTCTTTGATCAAGGGTAAGTGGTAAGCATTCGAGGCTGACACCGCATTCAAGCCCCAGTAGTCGATGCACAAACAGAGCCCCCCATCTTTTTTCTTTCTGAATAGAACAGGAGCAGCGAACTGGCAGGAGGCGGGGTGGATAAAACCCCGCACCAAGTTTTTGTCGATGAACTTCCTTAACTCTTCCTTCTCCGCCGGGCTCACAGAGTACAACTTTCCTTTGGGCAGTTTGTGCCCCAGTAAAATCTCAATGGCACAGTCAGTATTATGGTGGGGGGGAAGTTAATCAGCCTCCTCCTCCTTGAACACCATGGCCAAGTCCCGGTACTCTGCAGGGATGGAGTTTATTTCCTCCTTAGCCAAGCAGGCACGGACTGGACCATCCGGAGGCTCATACCCCAACTCCGATAGCCAGATGTGGGATTTACAGCCAGAAGCTACAAAGATGACAGCCCCCTCACTCCATTGGATATAAGGGTCATGGGCTCTAAGCCACAGGCTTCCTAGCACCATGGAAAACCAGGCCATGGGGTTTACAACGAACGCTCAGGTTTCCCAGTGAGACCCTGTCCCCATGATGACTGGCACAGTCTGGTAGTTACAGGGCTCACACATAGTGGACCCGTCCATCTGGGTGAAAATCAGGGGCTCAGGTAACCGCTGCACTGGGACCTCCAACTCTGTCACAACAGAAGGGATAATCAAGTCTCTGGCACACCGTCTGCAGTGATCTTGGATCCCAGGAACGTGAAGTCTGTCACTGCTTCCATGACATAAGAACATAAAAACATAAGAGACACCAATGTTGGATCAGGCCAAAGGCCCATGCAGTCCAACACTCTGTGTCACACAGTGGCCAGAAATACCAATGCCATCAGGAGGTCCACCAGTGGGGCCAGGACATTAGAAGCCCTCCCACTGTTGACCCCCTCCAAGCACCAAGAAGACAAAGCATCACTTGCCCCAGAGCCCCTATCTATACCTTGTGGCTAATACCCACTGATGGACCTCTGCTCCATATGCTTATCTAATTCCCTTTTGAAGCCGTCCATGACTTCCCCTTCTATTTGCCAAGAAGTGATGGGGCAGAGTGCCATGATTTTAGGTCCTCTTCACTTTCTGCCATTAGAGTGGTATCATCTGCATGTCTGAAGTTGTTGATCTTTTCCCCGGCAATCTTAATTTCAGCTTGTGATTCATCCAGGCCAGCATTTCGCATGATGTACTCTGCATATAAATTAAATAAGCAAGGGGACAATATACATCCTTGTTGTACTCCTTTTCCGATGCTAAACCAATCAGTTGTTCCATATCTGGTTCTCACAGTCACTTCTTGACCCTTATACAGGTTTCTCAAGAGACATGTGAGGTGGTCTGGTACTCCCATCTCTTTAAGGACTTGCCATAGTTTGTTGTGATCCACACAATGAAAGGCTTTAGCATAGTAAATGAAGCAGAAGTAGATGTTTTTCTGGTACTCCCTTGCTTTCTCCATAATCCAGCGAACGTTAGCAATTTGATCTCTAGTTCCTCTCCCTCTTCGAAACCCAGCCTGTACTTCTGGCAGTTCTCTATCCATGTACTGCTGAAGCCTAGTTTGTAGGATCTTGAGCATGACCTTGCTACCGTGTGAAATGAGTGCAATTGTGTGATAGTTTGAACATTCCTTGGCATTGCCCTTCTTTGGGATTGAAATGTAAACTGACCTGTTCCAATCCTGTAGCCATTGTTGTGTTTTCCAAATTGCTGGCAGATTGAGTGCAGCACTTTAACAGCATAATCTTTTAAGACTTTGAATAGCCCAGCTGGGATACCATCACCTCCGCTAGCTTTGTTGTTAGTAATCCTTTCTAAGGCCCATTTGACTTCACATTCCAGGATGTCTGGCTCGAGGTCAGTGATTACACTGTCGTAGTGAAACTGAAGCTCAAATACTTTGGCCACCAAATGAGAAGGGAGCACTCACTGGAGAAGACCCTGATGCTGGGAAAGATTGAAGGTCAAAGAAGACGGGGACGGCAAAGGATGAGATGGTTGACAGTGTCATAGATGCAAAGAACATGAAGTTGAGCAAACTTCAAAGGATGGCGGAAGACTGGAAGGCCTGGCATGGTCCATGAGGTCACGAAGAGTCGGACTCAACTGTGCGACTGAACAACAACAACAAAAGTTGTCAAGGACATTGAGGTCCTTCTTGTATAGTTCTTCTGTGTATTCTTGCCATCCTTTCCTAATCTATTTTGCTTCTGTTAGGTCCTTACCATTTTTGCCCTTTATCGTGGCCAGCTTTGCATGGAACATTCCCTTGATTTCTCCAATTTTCTTGAAGAGATCTCTAGTCCTTCCCTTTCTGTTGTTTTCCTCTATTACTTTGCATTGTTCATTAAGGAAAGCCTCCTTATCTCTCCTTGCTGTTCTCTGAAAATCTGTATTCAGTTGGGTAAATCTTTCCTTTTCACCTTTGCCTTTTGCTTTCCTTCTTTCCTCTGCTATTTGTAAAGCCTCATCAGACAGCCACTTTGCTTTCTTGCATTTCTTTTTCTTTGGGATGCCTCCTGTACAATGTCACGAATCTCTCTCCATAGTTCTTCAGGAACTCTGTCTATCAAATCTAGACCCTTGAATCTATTCTTCACCTCCACTGTATATTCATCAGGGATGTGATCTAGGTCAAACCTGAATGGCCTAGTGGTCTTCCTAACTTTCTTCAATTTAAGTCTGAATTTTGCAATGAGTAGCTCATGATCTGAGCCAAAGTCAGCTCCAGGTCTTGTTTTTACTGACTGTATAGAACTTCTCCATCTTTGACTGCAAATTATATAGACTGACTAGCTCAACAAAGAATATGTTTAGAAAGAAGTAATAATGAATACCAAGGATACAAATGTAAGGGAACAGAAATGCTACAGAAAAAAGGTGAGGCATGGAGAGACCATATATCTTAAAACAGGGAAGTAAGCTGAGCAGAGGAGAAAAGCAAAGGAGATTCCTTGTAAAACTAACAGCAGAGAAACCCATAAAGAATGATGACAACACAAAGCAGAAACTGGGGACAGGCAGGGAAGGAAGCAGCAATAAGTTAGAGGCATTGCGAACACATTCTTTTAAGAAGCAAAAAGTAAGGAGCTGGACACTGGCAAGCCAAAATCAGTAAAAGGAGAATGGGTGCAGGTAATACACCCCTGCAGGGATGGGGGTAGGAGAATCCAGGGAAGATAACAAGAGGTCCTGGATCTGTGGGGGCAACAAACAACTAACACTAATTGGTGAGGGCGGGGAGACAAGTTCCCTTGCAAAAGCTCAATGGAGCAATTATGGGATTTGACAGGGGGTGCATGAGGGGAAAGGATTCACAGAGATAACAGCATCTGTGCACACACACACACAAATTATATCATCTTTGAAGGAGAGGGACAGTCTGGAGCAGCGCCCTTAGATGCAATAGGTCTCATGTGCAATCCCCAGCATGTTAAGGTAAAGGATCTCAGGTAGAAGGTAATAGAAAAGACTTTCCTCGTTTCTGATCCTGGAGAGTTTATTTACTCATTTTGTTTATACTCCACCTTCCTCCCCAATACAGACCCATAGCGGCCTACATCATTCTCCTCTCCTCTGTTTTACTCTCACAGCAACCCCATGAGGTGGGTTAGACTGCGAGTGTATGATTGGCTCAATGTCAGCCAGCAAGCTTCCACAACAGAGTGGGGATTTGAACCTGGGTCTTCCAAACCCTTGTCCAACACATACTGGCTCTCTCAACAGTTGCTGCCAAAGAGAGTAAACAAGGTTGAGCTAGATGCACTCAATAGAAGACAACTGTTTTATGTTCACCTATCCCAGCACCCTGTTGCCAACAGCAGCCAACCAGATGGCCTTTGAACACATAAAGATGCCTTATACTGAGCCTGCCTATTGTTCTACCAAGGTCAGTATTGCCTGCTCTGGCTGGCAGGAACTCTCCAGGGTCCCAGGCCTTACCTGCTCCTGACCCTTTCAAGTTCAAATGCCAGAAACTAACTGTTGAGCCTTCTGCATGGAAAGCATTCAATCACAGTACCACCCCTTTGAGAAACTCCTAACCAGAGCATGAAGGCAGGTGGCCATCCTTGACTCTTCATATATGTGGTAATGATCTACCTCCCACTGGTATGGAGAGCCAATGTAGTCTAGCAGTTAGAATGCTGGAGTAAAATCTGGGAGACCCAGGCCCAAATCCCCAGTCTGCCATGGCAGGTCACTGGGCGACCCTAGGCTAGTCTCTCTTTCTCAGCCCAATTTACCACACAGGGTTATTGCTAACAGGATAAAACAGTGGATGGGAGACCTATGACATAAGCTGCTTTGGGTCCCCACTGGGTATAAGTAAATATGGAGTATAAATAAACATTCTCAGCATCCAGCTTTAAGAGGTAGACTGCCCCTGTCCATAGAGTCTCTATTTACATAACAGTGGATGTGTCTGAACTGGGGGAAAAACCTTCACAGATATCTGCTTCTATCTCTGAAAGATCTTTAAGTGACAGCAATTGAGGGAGCGGCTGTAACATTTTCCTGCCATTGTAACACTGCTTTGGGCCCCCACTGGGTATAAGTAAATATGGAGTATAAACAAACATTCTCAGCATCCAGCTTTAAGAGGTAGACTGCCCCTGTCCATAGAGTCTCTATTTACATAACAGTGGATGTGTCTGAACTGGAAAAAAAACCTTCACATATACCTGCTTCTATCTCTGAAAGATCTTTAAGTGACAGCAATTGAGGGAGCGGCTGTAACATTTTCCTGCCATTGTAACACTGCTTTGGGCCCCCACTGGGTATAAGTAAATATGGAGTATAAACAAACATTCTCAGCATCCAGCTTTAAGAGGTAGACTGCCCCTGTCCATAGAGTCTCTATTTACATAACAGTGGATGTGTCTGAACTGGGGGAAAAACCTTCACAGATATCTGCTTCTATCTCTGAAAGATCTTTAAGTGACAGCAATTGAGGGAGCGGCTGTAACATTTTCCTCACACCGAAACTGGCTCTTTCTCACTCACCGCGTCCTTCTCCTGAGAATCAGATCTGCGCCGCTGTTCCCCTCACAAATTCAATTAATCTCATAGATGTCGAAGGGGGGGGGGGACGGAGCCTCCCAAAGCACCACAAGAGCAGCTACGGATGAGAATATTAACGCCACCTCCTCCTCTGACGAGGAGCCCGCGGAGCGACACGCCCCCCCCCCTCCCCGACTTTGCCTGTCTTGACGGAGCGGCGAATTCGACACCACCTCCCCCACCCCCGTGCGAGCACTTCCCTGGACAGGCTGGTGCGTGTGCGCATGCGGCAGTCTGTCTCTCTCATTCTCTGGCTTCTTGGCACCTCTATGAAGGAGTGACCCGGATGGAGGAGGCGGGAACAAGGGAGTGGAAAAGACACCTCCCCTCTCCAGGGGGGTTAGAGAGAGGCGTTGGTGCCTTTTGCAGTTGGTGGCCTCGGTGTGTGGCAAAAAAGGCGGCTTCTCTCGCTTCTTTCACATTCTGAGATTTTAGATGACAGGGACAGGGGGAGTGCTGTCAAGTCGTTTCCTACTTATGGCGACCTTGTGAATTAGTCCTTCCGAACGTCCTATGGTTAACTGCAAACTCAGGGCCTTGATAGAGTCAATCCATCTCATGTTGGGTCTTCCTCTTTTCCTGCTGCCTTCTACTTTTCCCCTGCTGCTTTCAACTTTTCCGATGAGGCTTGCCTTCTCATAATGTGATCAAAGTACCTAACGTAGCCTCAGTTTGGTCTTTTCGACTTCTAGGGAGAGTTCAGGCTTGGTTTGATCTAGAACCCATTTGTATGTCTTCCTGTTGATCCACAGGATTAGTAAAACTCTCCTCCAGCACTACATTTCAAGTGAATCAACTTTCTTCCTTTTGAGGGACGTGAATAGTTAAAGTGAGCTAAAGCAATTGTCACTGTGTGGACAATGGCTGAATTATGAGTTTGCCTGTAACCAAAACCTGGAGATAGGATGGGAGGACTGTGTGAAAAAATGTGGACTGCAAGGAATAGCCTTGATTTACACAGATGCTAATCAACGGAAAAGGGTAAAAGTCGGATCTAAACGGATCCTCATGAATTCATGTGATTTTTACACCACCCTCAACGGAAAAGGGTAAAAGACCCTAATCAACCACGCATGCCTAATAAACTCAGGAATATTATCTGTCCCACCGTTTGCTTAAAAAACTAATTTTAATGCATAGACATTGTATGTTCAAGGAGGGGGTGGGTCATGTCAAGGAGTTGTATGCTTTATTGTGTGTTGTAGGCAGAACTGAAAGAGTGTAAGTCCTCATTACCCAGCCAAGGTGAACAGGACAGGGAGGAGCCGGCAGGGAAGAGATGGTAAATGGAGGTTGTTTGGAATGTTGAGTTGAGCTGGCCTTTGTTCGACTCCCTTTATTGTCAATAAAGATCACCTAAAAGATACTCCAGACTGACTTTTTTGTATGTGTTCCTTGGAGTGGCCAAGGAAGACAAACGTTTCCAACACTTTTGAGGGACACCTTTCTCCCCAGCATGGAGAGAGATTAAAGGGAACACCTCTCATAAGAAAGTGGCTCCTGTACCCCTCAAAATGTCCACTCTGGCACACACCTACTTTAAAAAATTGTTATTACTTTTCACTTATTTATAGTCTGCCTTTCTCACTGAGACTCAAGGCAGAGGCTGCACAGGATTATCAGAACAGCAAATCCAATAAGCAATGCAATAGTTATTGCCAGGGGTCTTGTTGTAGAAAAAGAGCTGCCGGAGCTCATTAGCATAACTCATTAGCATAACTTATTTGCATATGCCACGCCCCCTGACATCACCGGAAGTGACAGAAGGCCACACCCCCTGACATCACCGGAAGTGTGTCAGAAGGCCCGGCTACTTACCCTCCTGCTTCATCCTCATTCCCAAACGGAATGAGGATCGAAGCAGAGGGCGGGGTAAAGAAGGGGGCGGGGCTTCACCACGTGACCGCCCCGCCCCCTAGAGGTTCTCTTCCGGAGCTCCGTACCTGAGAGCTCCCCCCCGACTAGAGCCCTGGTTATTGCAGAAAAATGAAAGCAAGCAGAATTGGAAAACAGAACTGAAACAGCAAAAGTATTAACATGGAATTTTAAACAATGTAGAAATTACATAGTAGGACAATATATATGGCAATAAATACTATATCCTTATACACAGTGGTACAGTCCACAGGCCTGTTGGTACAGTGGGCTGGCAGTCACAGCTTGGCTTGCCCTCGGGCTTCCCTCTCTTCCACTGTAGAATGGGGGGGGGGGATCATGGGACCTGGAAAAAGACAGCTCAGAGGGCATTTAATTGCCTTTTGAGTTCCCTTCCACAGAGAAAAAAAGCTTAGAAGGGGACGCAAGAGTGGTACTTTCAATACAACTCCAACGATCCCATTTTCTGCTAAGGCACACCTGCTGTATACCACCTAGGTCATGGTGGTAAGATGTCAATTGTTATTAGTAATAGCAACGGTGGTCGTGATGGTGGTGGCGGCTCCAAAAGCCTGGCGGAAGAGCTCCGTTTTACAGGCCCTGCAGAAATGTAGAAGGTTCCGCAGGGCCCTGGTCTCCTCTGGGAGCTCGTTCCACCAGAGTGGAGCCGCCACCGAGAATGCCCTGACTCTAATTGTTACCAGCCTGGCCTCCTTAATGGTCAGGAGGGCCAGCCCGCTTTGGGTCCCTGATCGCAGTGCTCTCTGGGGTATATATGGGGAGAGGCGGTCCCTCAGGTATGCAGGTCCCTGGCCATAAAGGGCTTTAAAGGTAAGAACCAGCACCTTGAAGCAGATCCAGTATGCTATAGGCATAGCACAGCTTTTATTTAACGCAGCACCTTGCCAGAGGCACGAGCCAAGGGGTGCGAGCCAAAGGGCTCTTGGCCTAGGGGCTTTTAGCTTAGGGGATCTGTAAGAAGTCCAGGAAGAGCCAGTAAGGTAAGTAGACTTCTACAAGGAGAGCCACATCAATACAAAGGGTTTTAAAAGATGGATTATTATTTTAAAAGCAATTATGAAGCCAGAATGCCAGCAGGGGGTTGGGGGCTATCCAGTGTTTTGCACGGAGTGTCACACGTATGACTATCTGCCCACTGGATAGAAGTCTTGGTTGTGTGTCCAGTGCAAGGAGCTCCTGATTCTCAGGGAATGAGTTTGCTCCCTTGAAGCCAAGGTGGCAGACCTGGAGAAGCAGAGACAATCAGGCGCATGGAGAAGACTCTCGGGGACTTGTTAGATATGTCCAACTCTGAATATAGCAGCCCCGCCGCTGTCAGGGAGCATGAGGGTCGAGGGGAAACAGGGCACCGTGCTGCGGAAAAGGGGAAGGGACCTCTTCTTCAGCTGGTGAACGGGTATCCTTTCGCACCAAGGAACCATCCCTTGGCAGGGAGGGAGGGGGGCTCTTGGTAGTTGGTGATTCGATCCTAAGGCAGGTAGCTGGGTGGTGAACCCGCATACTGACTCTATGGTGACTTGCCTGCCTGGTGCGAAGGTAGCGGACATTACGTGTGTTCTAGATAGGCTGGTAGATAGTGCTGGGGAGGAGCCAGTGGTCGTGGGACATGTTGGCACCAACGATGTGGGGAAATGCAGTCGTGAGGTCCTGGAGGAAAAATTTAGGCTGCTAGGCAGGAAACTCAAGGCCAGGACCTCCAAGGTAGCCTTCTCGGAAGTGCTACCTGTTCCACGTGCAGGGCCGGAGAGATAGGCACAGATCAGGAGTCTCAATGAGACAATGGTGTAGGGGGGAAGGGTTCAAGTTTGTTAGGCACTGGGATGCTTTTTGGAACAAGAGGGAGCTGCACAAAAGATACAGTCTGCTCCACTTGTCCCGAGAAGGAACCAGGCTGCAGGTGCTTAAAATCAAAAAGGTGGCAGAGCAGTTGTTGGGGGGAGGAACAGACATTGTGGGTATTTCAGAAACTTGGAATGAGGAAAATCAGTGGGTGTGGCGGAACAGGCCCGCGTCAGCTGGCTGACCCCACTCTGCCCACCCCTCCTTTGCCTGGCCTGGCACCTGAAGGGGCAGTTTTTCACCACTGCCTCCTGGTATTGCTGCCACCACTGTCCCTGTCTTGGGCTCTGGTTAGGCGGGACAGCCTCCTAACCTCCCTCTGATGGTCGCTAGGAACCCACCTTGGAGCTTCCTGGCAATCTTTGGGGCTCCCCTGGAGAGTTGGCAACTGGCTGATTTGCCCTTGTTCTCCTCCTCAGGGAGTCCCCAACCCACTCCTAGTGTGTCCAAGCGGCTGGCGGAACTATGCGGTACAGAGGGACTTCTCAGTGTCAACAGTAAAAGAATTTATTTTGAACCACTCAACTATATACAGGCATATTAACAGTGAACCGAAGAATCAAAATAAAGGTGAAGAATAAATTGCTCCATCTCTCCCTTCACTACACATACTCTGTCTAGATGGTCTGCAGGGCAGGCACATGACTTGCTTTCACTGGAGGTTAGATTAGCACAACTCCCAACATGGCCTCTGCCTCCTGCAGACTCCAGCCTTCTGACTGGCTCCAGACTTCAGGCAGACCGACCTCAATTCACCAAGACTGGCTTCCCGCCCAAAAGCTCCACTATATCAAACAGCCCTTCCCGCCCAGGAAGTGCCTCTCCCTCCTGCAGCATTCTGGGGCAGATCTCCTCACAGCCTTGACGGACTTCCTGTCCTCTCTAGGGAGCTGCCCTCAGAGTACTGATTGGAGACAGGAGGGGGGGGATGAGGAGGAGACTAGGCCAAGGCCTACCTCAGGTTGGATGGTCCCCTCCTATCTGGCCCACACCAACTTAAACATAGGCATAAAATGGCGTTTCTCCACAGTGGGATACGGTGATTCCTAGTTATAAATTATATCGGAAGGATGGGGAGGGAAGGGTTGGAGGTGGGGTGTCTCTGTATGTCAGAGAGGGTATACAGTCCAGTAAGATTGAGAGGGTAAGTGAATTGGATTTGCTTCTGGAAATGCTATGGGTTGAAATAGTGGGCCCAAAAGGAAGCTTAACACTGGGAGTTTGTTATCGCCCACCAGATCAAAAGATAGAGGAGGATTATAAAATGATGAATGAAATAAAGATAGTGGCTGGATGAAATAACTGTGTGGTAATAGGTGATTTTAACTACCCACACAT